CGTACTGTACACAGGACTGCGCTACCCATATACTTACATTAGCAAGATGCTACTGTGTGCAAAATGATATAGACACTGAATATAAGTGTACAGTAGTTCAATCTTCTAGCATCTCCCACCCTATCCTGAGATCAGTAACAGCTCCCTTTTAACTCTGCTTCATTTTGGAACATATTTAGAAAACCAACTCGTGCTGTCAATGTAATGCGTTGCCCAAACTTGTCTTTTAAAAGTATGTGTGGAACCCAAAAGATGTTTTTTTAAAAGAGATGAATTAAGTGCAGGGTACTTCAAAATGTGTTATTTCCTGCACTGACAGGCCTTCCACAGAAGCAGCGGGTAATCTTGGATAGAGTAGAGCAGGCTTGGTCAAAGGCAGACATCAAAACAACACAGAACAAAACAAAACACATCACAATAAGGCAGTCTGGTCAGGGTTGTAAAGCAGCCTTTGGCCACCCCAGTTGTCAATTCAATACCTCTACACAAAGCTGTGAGGGTATCACAATGAAAAAAATATATATATTTCTAACTTCTATTTCTGAGATCATGAGGCCCATTTAGTGGCTGCCCGCTGGAAGGAGCCCACTCTTCAGCTTTGCCTTCCCTGTGTAGGAAAAATTCCTGCAGATACCTTTGAGTGTGACAAAGTCTGGGTTTTCCTAGGCAAAGAACATATGGGGAGTGGAGGGGAAACGACTCTGGGAAGATGAAAGATCTGGACTCCTAATAAAATCCTGTGACTGTGTGCTGAGCAACAGCACAATAAAAGCCATGTGTGGAAGCTAACCTCGTCTCTGGGTCTCTATCTTTTTGGATCTTTAAAAAAAAAGTATCAGCAAATCAAAATACTTCTTGTGCTGCTTGAACATGTTCAAGAGGGCTCTGAAGTCAAGGTTTCCACCTCTATCCAGCCTCTCCTTCCACGTGATTCCTCTCTAGTCTAGGCAGAGATGGAACTACAGAGGTCACAAGGTTTCTCACATGTAACCAGGCAATCATCCAGAGGTTGGAAATGTTACCCTTTGGGGCATGAATCTCCACTCATGCTGGCTGGGGGACTCTCTGAGACGTTATTTCATACAAGTAACTTTTCCAAGCTCAGAGATCACCCAGATACTGGATGAAGCCTAGAAATAACAAGTGCGGCTCTGATCAAGATTGCTAGCACCATTACAGTCCATCACATCCCTTTGTAGTCCTCCTACCACTAACAGCTTGTACCACTTGAAATCCTGACCTCCATATGTATGAGATAGGCTGGGTTTCTTCCAATGATGGGGAGCACTCATAATATACTTAGTCATGATAAGACAGGGCTCTGTAAGAAGCTCACAGAAGCATTTAAACAAATACAGCCGAGTGGTCTACTCTACAGATCTTCAGGCTGAACGTATGAAGGTCTGTCTGACTCCTACGTGGGGTGGGGAAGACAGGAATTATGTGTGCCCCTCTGCCCCCATCACAACCCCCACTTTCAGGCATAATGTCTAAGTAGGGTTCCTTCACACCTTCATGAACTGATCTTCGGCTTCCCTTTAAATTCTGAGCTTTCATTAACTTAGAGCAGTCCTATAACTGAAGCAGAGAAGCACCCCATCCCACAGCTCCAAGGGATGAAGGCCCACAGCACTCCTTGGATAACACTTGAGTTATCAAGCAGTTCAACAGGGATGTTTTTATAATGCCTAACAATGCCTAACTTTTTAACATAAAAGCAATGGCCAGTGCAACGGGCAACAGCAGCCAGTTCGGATTCAGTCACTGTAATCAGCTATGGGAATGAATTATTTTTTTGAAAAGTAACTTTTCCAAGCTGTGATAACATATGTTCATACAACTTGGGCCACAATCGGCTGGGAAATTCTCCTGCAGAGTCTTGACTGGGATGAAAGAATAAACAGGGATGTTGGCCGGTCTTTGGGTCTGAGTCCCATGTCTGTCCAAGTCTTTGGCACCAGGTCCCGGGTCACAAGATGCAAGTCCAAGTCCCTTTTAAAAGTCAGCTTTTTCACCCCAGAAAAGAAGGGTAAGTGGGTTCTGAGTTAGGAGTCAAGTAGATTCATTGGGGGAAGGGGTTGGGGGGGAATAAGAGAAGTCCAAGTTGAATCAGTGCGACTGAAGTCTGACTTGACAGCAAGTCCCGCAACTCCGTTCCCCACCCCTGGGAATAACACAGAACCTAGCAATACAATTCTGCTCTCTGATTACCTGAATAGGGGAAAATCGGATGTCAGGTATCTGACATTGAACCATTTATGCTAGTGTACTTTACACCAGTTCATGCCATGGGCCTTCAAGTCACTTCTGACTTATGGAGAGACTGTGAATTAACAACTGCCAAAAAAAGGGAGGGGGGTCATATCATTAAGGTCTTGCAATGTAAAGGCCATGGCCTCCTTTGTTGCGACGGACTCCATCAAGGAAGCCATAGGCTTCAGATATAAAATTCGGCCTATTTAGACAAAGATTTCAGCTCTGTGAGCTGAACACAATGCTTGTGACTTCTGACTTCCAGACGCTATTTTTGCACTGCTTTTGCTCTTTCTCACACAACCCTTATGTGGTGACTGAACACACACATACACAGAAACACACACACACACACACACACTTGCTATGACATAACCATGTCTTCAGCTCCTTGTAACGATCTGAGAGCCTCCCACCAATACTTACTTGAACGTGGACTCTTTATATCTTACAAGGAGAAATTGTGATTAAATATTTCAGCAAACCAGCTGCCTGGAAAGGTCGTTTTTGCTAAGCCAGGCCAAAATGACAGAATAAACACTGTACTATCTTGCACTCACATTTTTCTTTCATTCTTCCATAGGCCCTTTATCTTTTTTGGCAAACCTTTTGGGAGGGGGGGGGTTGTGCCCAGTTTGATTTTGGCCACTTCCATGTAAAGCAAATCTCTTATGAATGAACAAATGATGTTTGTTCAGAGTTTAGACAAACTGCACCCCGTGTATAATGGTGGGCATTTCCTCTCCATGGAGTAGTGAATCTGGGACATTCAGACAAACCCCCTTGACATTAAAAGCCATTCCCCCCCGAGGCTACGCTCCGTTTATCCAAAGCTATGCTTGTTACATATGCTTTGGTCAGCAGATATGCAAGGACAGACAATAGCGTCTTTTCTGAAAACAATAGCCAGCATTAAGAATGTCATCAGATATAATGGCCATGAGGGGGACAGTTCTGCTTGCATATGAAAGCTTTCATAATAGAACAGCCCATGTCTGCTCTCCTAGGTTGTGGAGTTTTATTTTCATTTCGTTTCAATTCAGTTTTTTAAGAAAGATGAACCCGCCTGCAGTAGCAACAGCCTGCTGGTTCTTAAAAGATGCGGCTCATGAAAGGTACCATTTACAGTGCATGCCGAGGCCTCAAGAATGGAAATATTAGCTAAGAATGAAGTCCTACAGCAAGATGGAGGAAATTGTGGAAAAAAAATCTCTCACGTTGCTCTATATATTATAAAGCACAGGACATTCCTAGCAGCGATTCCCACCGTGAGAAACTTAGGGATGAATCGTCATCAGAAGCAGAAGATCAAGAATTATATCGTCATCCTGATCATCTCCTTACCATTGTCATCATCATCATCATTTATTGTAGAAACCACCGTATTGTATAAACCACCCAGATGGGCTGCATAAAAGTTGATCAAATAAATAATATTCATTCATGATATCATAAAATATGACTTTCATATTTCCTATTAAATCCTCACTGTTCTCCTCAGCTACCCAGCATTCCTCTCTTAGCCCCCTGTAATAAATTTCACCATTCTTACTCAGTTCCGTCAAGGAAACAAAAAGTTCATTCATGTACAAAAATACAGATCTGCTCTTCCAGTGCACGGAGGGGCGGGGGCGGGTGTGTAAAAAAAAAATGAAAGGAAGAAAGAAATCGGTTCCACTTTGATATAGTGGAATCAACGAGAACAAATCAAGGACTTCTCCAAAGAGACGAGGATGGTGGGGGGGGGAAAGGTTTTTCTGGGTGCTGTTTTATATTTTCAGTGGCTTTCTTCAAGAAGATCTAATGTCCTTTGACAGTAGCCACGGGGCTTGGTTGCCACTTCAGTTACCCTACCGGTTTTCCTTCTAACTGAATAGATGTGTGCGTGGAAATTAGGGGGAACAGTCGCTTTTCCCCTTAATTTCATCAAATTACATGCACTGTGATTTTTAGATAAGTCAGGCCACAATATTGGGTCCTGCTTTTTTTTTTAAGCTTGTAAGCAGTTAAGCTGAAAGAGAAATCGTTTAAAAAACAAACCAGTCAGCACATATAGGTGTATTTATGTATTTTCAATGTGTGCATGCCACTTCTTTTAGGGAAAGAATGGATGTTTCACATCAACATAACTGAAAATGTTAAAAAAGAAAGAAAGAGTATAACTGATTTTTTTTTAAAAAAAGTAATGCAAGAATAAACCATCACCCCCCTCAAAAGAAATTGTTTCTCCAGAGAGGGGAAGATGGTGGTGGGAAACCCCCCGTCCTGTTTTCTCATCAGGAGGTGGCCTATGTCTTGGCTTCAGATTGTATCATCCTGAGGGAGAGGGTGATGCTCCTTGCCCTGAAAAAAGGCTCCTACATAAAGAACAGAAGTTATCCAGCCTTACCCTTTTCTCACTGGTGGTTTGTTTTTTGGGAGCAGGAATCTGGTCATGTGAGCACTCACCAGAGGTGAACTCCCCCCCCCGCAAACTCGTGCACTCCCCCTTCATCCTCTCTTCCCCAGACGTCCACCACAAGACCCTACTGGGCAGGGATCCTTTGCCCACCTCTGCCCACTTGTGTGTTGATCCCTCCCAAGGTTTTTCTCGCCTCCAAATGCACAATGCACTGGTCTCCACATCAGAATGAAGGCGGGAAAGAAATTCCCTTGACCACCCTCCATGCAAACCCACCCACCTAGTTTGGAGACAGACCGACAGAGTAATGGCATCACCTTTTTAATTATTATTTTAACAAGGGCAGTAAGGAGGAAAAAAAGGACAGGGGACCTTCTGACTCCTAGTATTGTTCATCTCTTCAGTTCACCTTGTCAGATCCAGTTTTGCCACTAGACAAACACAAAGAAAAAAAGTAAACACAAAATAAATAACACACACACACACAATTAGAAGGGATTGGAAAAGTTCCATAGTGCTAACACAAACATACCCAGGATAATCCAGGAAAATAAACAAACTGACCTTATAGGAGGAACATTTTGCCACCTTTCCTGTCACTCTTTGTCACTGGTTATACCAAGGGCCAAATCATCTACTTTTTATAGGGTAAATGCCCCATTGGAAAATCCTTATGGGAAAGGTAAAGTAAAGGTAAAGGTTCCCCTTGACAATTTTTGTCCAGTCGTGTTCGACTCTAGGGGACGGTGCTCATCCCCGTTTCCAAGCCATAGAGCCAGCGTTTGTCCGAAGACAATCTTCCGCGGTCACATGGCCAGTGCGACTTAGACACGGGACGCTGTTACCTTCCCACCAAGGTGGTCCCTATTGATCTACTTGCATTTGCATGCTTTCGAACCGCTAGGTTTGCGGGAGCTGGGACAAGCGACGGGAGCTCACTCTGTCGCGTGGATTCGATCTTACGACTGTTTGGTCTTCTGACCCTGCAGCACAGGCTTCTGCGGTTTAGCCCACAGCGCCACCACGTCCCTCCTTATGGGAAAACCATCTAGTAAAAATCAGTGGTCCCCAACTTTTTCCAAATCGTGGACCGATTGGGGGGGGCAGGGCACCCTCCCCAATCATGGCTGGGTGAGGTGCACACTCATGCATGCGCAGGTGGGCGAGGCCACACTCATGGGTGGGCAGGAGGTGCTCGTGAGTGGGTGCGGCACCGATGGGTGCAGGTGGGTGGGCCGTTTGTGGGTGTGCATAGGGGGAGTCCGAGTGGGGGGGAGAGATCTGTCTCCACAGGCCCAGTCCTGCCAAGGCCACCAGGGGTTGGGGACCCCTGTAGTAAATGATTCAGATGTAAATGAATGTTATCTAGTGAAGAATGTTTCAATACAGGGCTCCCCATTGTCTCTCTTCAAGACTACGGGAAGTAAGAGTTCTCTTAGCAAAACATTTCTCATTATCTTTCCACCCACCAGAAAAGACACCCTCTTAGAAGCTTCAAAGGTAAAACTGCAGGCGTCCACCTCACCTTGGAATTAATTTGCACACCACACCTTCTGAAACTCCCTTGTTATCTCTCTATGAAGCTTCTGGCGACTGGTCACAACAGGCTGTCAACCAAGGAATCCCTCACTACTTCCTGAGAGACAAAATGTAAAAGACCTCTCACAACCCAGAGGAGATTTGCTGGTTTTCACTAAAATAATAAGTATCCTGATCTCAAGGCCATTCCAAATCATGGCAGCTTTTCCATTAACTCCTCTAGCGGAATTAATGTGAAGTCCATAAGCTCCTCAGCCATACATGCTGCAGGTGAGCTCAACTAGCCTGGGGTGCACACTGGGGTCTGAAGCGACAGCTCCTTGCTCCTCAGGCAGATGTTCCAGCCCACCAACCTACCCCAACTCCTTAGCTGATGTAGCACAGTCATATTGGCCTAGCAGAGGCCCACGGGAAGGATGTTCCAAAATCGGACCTTTGTTTCACAGATGGGGAGGGCCACCTGTATTATTACATCAGTGAGGAAAATACACCCCAGTGCTTCACCAGCAAATGTGGAAAATGGGACCAAAAGAACAGCCAGAGAAGGAGAGGACAGGGTTCCTCTGCCCTGGTTTTCGAAGGAGTAGCCATGTTAGACAGGGGCAGCAAAAAGAAGGATGAATTGGGTGGCATCTTAAAGGTTAACAGACTTAGTGTAGCATGATTTGGTGGTCCATTTCAGATCCACAGAGTGCAATCCTGAATTTCAGGTGCATATTGTTGTCGGTAGGGCTGTAGACAGCTGCAGTCTCAATGAAAAGGAAATGCTACATGTAAATGGATAGCAACAATCAATGTTATTGCCGATTGTTCATGAAACAGTTGTTTCTGGTATCACAAACATCCAGGCAAGGGAGAATCCATGGAATGTGGTAAGAAAACATTATTCCAAACCAAGTCTTTATTAATTTAAAGGGTCAAAAATTCTGTCACAATCACATTTCAATTCTGTCAAAATTGCATTTCTATGCTTAACTGAGGGATAATTTTATTTTTCAAATGGTAACCAAGTTACTCTGTTTTAGTGTAACAAAAAAGGGGTCTTGTGGGACTGACAGATGTACTGTATGTTATCATGAGTTTCCTTGAATTACGATCTGAGAAAGTGTATTGTGATCTGTGAAAAGCTTGTGATAAAATAAACTCTGCCAACTAAAAACCCTTACCCCCACACACACCCTGGGTATTCTGATAATACAATTTTGAGATGTGAAGCAAAAGGTGATGTTTGTGCTATAAAATGATGGCAACGTTTTGACATGAAAAAGCCAGTACTGGGTTTGGAAATGTTAACTGGAAGTCCCCATTCGACCTTTCCATTACACTGCTTTGGAGGACACTGTGAAAAATGAGATTCTCACATAACGTCTGATGAGGACAGGAGAGGCAGTATTTTCAGCAGTTACTCCCAGGCTGTGGAACTCTATTCCACAGGAAGCTAGGCTGGCACCTCCTGAGGGTCCTTCTGCTGGCAGGCAAAAAGCTTCCTTCTTAGGAAGGCTTTTGGCAATTGATGGGCTGCCAAAGAAGGGTCCTTTTTACAGTTTTTCAATGTGTTTTTAAATAGTAAGTCAGAGGCCTTTTTATTATTACTGTTATTACGTGGTTAGAATCTTGTTGGTGTTTGTGGACAGTTTATGTAACTTGCCATGGCTAATTGCAGCTAAATGACACGGTGTCTCTCAACTGTGGAGTCCGGCATGTGACCAGGGATACAACCAAGATGTACTTCAGTACCTTGTCACTTAGTCGCAGGTAACTGCAACAAGTTATGGAAGCCTTACACAAACACCAAAAGGATTCTAATCTGTATTTAAGTGCAGTTTATTAGTATAATTTAGGTTGCGACTACTGTACATTGGGGGAAAATGCCAGAAATGCTATAGGTTGACTTGCTTTTCGGCCCATTGATCACACAATACAAAGGGAAATGCAGATAAGCCTAGGAGCCCCTCCATCAATCCATAGTTGTTGTTTTCCCACTGGGGCTTGTGCTTTAAAAAACAACAGATCAATTACCGTGTTTCCCGGAAAATAAGATGGGGTCTTATATTAATTTTTGCTCCAAAAAACACATTAGGACTTATTTTCAGGTTTTTTTTAAAAATGTATGACAATCTACATTTTTTTCAAATACAGTCATGTACTGTATGACAATCTACATTTTTTCAAATACAGTCATGTCATCTTCTTCTGGCTGCTGCACAATGCTGGAGGGTGGTTTTCACTTAACTGGGGCTTATTTTTGGGGTAGGGCTTATATTACAAGCATCCTGAAAAATCATACTAGGGCTTATTTTCAGGTTACGTCTTTTCAGGGAAACAGGGTAGCATTGGTTCAGATGTGTGACTGAACCAAGGCAGAAGATGTCAGCACAATTCAGGAACAGAGAGCAAGCAAGACTTTATTTATTTATTTATTTATTTATTTATTTATTTATTTATTTATTTATTTATTTATTTATTTATTTATTTATTTATTTACAGCTAAGGGCAAAGAAAAGCCTTTCTCAGCTTGCAAAGCTGGCAAGACTTTTAAAAAAAACTTTCTTAGGGCATCTAAAGACAGAGGGGGAGAAAGGGAGAGGGAGAGGGGGAGAGAGAACAAAATGAGAAAACTAAAAGAGGACACTTTTAGTTTTACCTGCACCTCCTACAGGGCTTCAACAGAGTTGCAAACAAGCTGCAAACAAGGCTTTTCTCCTACCCCCCTGGGTGGTCATTTAAATCGAACAGACGTGAAATCTCAGCAAGTGAATGTGAATGAATTTACATTTTTCTTGCTGTGTAATTACACCCTTAGTGTGGGGTGTAGATGTATCTGTTTTTCAATCATTTTGTAAGTCATCAGGGGTGCATTTTTCCTTGCATTAAAGGAAAGAAAGAAAGAAGGAAAGAAAGAAAGAAAGAAAGAAGCTAAACCCACTGAACAATGTCCTCTTTTCTTACTATACTTTTATTTATGATCTTTGTTCATCTTTTACTTTTGCAGGCCAGTTTTATCAGTGCTGTGTGTTGGCCCAAATAGTCTTCCATTATTCTGTAATAATGTAAAACCAAGTATAATGACTGATTCCATTCTGTACTCCTGTGCTGTGTAATTATGTTAAGTAATTAGCAGACAAGATTCTATAATACTTGAATCTCAGGTTAATTGAAACTTAATACCTGCTTGAACTGGTAATGGATGCAATAATGTAATGAGATCAGGTCTTGTTGAATTGCATAAGCTTTTCAAGCTGGGAGGTTTTAATCTTTTCTTTTTAAGACAGACCCCAAATATAGGATAGAAATCAAATGAAGGTAAGGTTGATGGTAAATGAAGACCTGGACATTGAAACACTTTGAAGAGAAGACTGGAAGTCAGTGAACATGAATCATTTTCAGAGAGAAGGGGGAAGGAACCCAAAACGTTTGAGATCTTGAGAGCTAAGCTACTAAAGTTTGTTGAAGCAACAGGTCTAATGGGAACCAATGGGATCCGAGGTATGGTTGCCAACTGTTTTCTACCAAGGATCCTCTGTCCTTGGCAGAAATTCAGCAGGGAAGGGAAATTCTTCAGTGAAGGAGTATTCTGGTCCACCTGCCCAAGGCCCCAGGTTCGATTCCTTGCAGTTTCAAAGTAAGGTGAGGAAATAAAGCCTGTGGATCCGCTGCCAGCCACTGTTGGCAGTAAGAGACGAATGGACCCATGGTCTGATTCAGCGTAAGCTTCTTATGACCCTAGCTGCCCCTTTTCCTGCCTGCTAATGAAGAGGAAGGACCAGTTTTGCCCATCGACATTTCTCTTGTCATGAAGCTGTCAAATGTGCAAAAATGACACCTGCCATTTTTAAAAAAAAAATTCTCTCTCTCTCTTGTTTAACTGCAGGTTCTGAGTTGGCCCCGTGCAATTTGCCTGAGGTTAAGACCAAAGCTTCGAAAAGGTAGTTTTTTTGGGAACAACAACATGGCCAGGGAGGAGCAGCTTTGCTAGGCTGTGATTGTGCTGCAGGATCAGGCTCCTGGGTCTGTTAGAGAGACAAAGGAGGGGGAATTTCTGAAAGCATGTTCTGGCTGGGGGGGCGGAGTAGAGGCAGCCCCTAAAATCTCTTCTTCCATGGAGCCCTGGGAAAGGAAGGGGTGCCTTCTCTCCCCCCCCCATTCGTTCCCAGCCCTTGACAGGCATATCAACATCTTTGATGCTGAAGTGAAAGCTGTAAGGGCAGGGGGTGCAGTCTCTAGCTGCTTAAATTTACAGAGCTTCCTTATTATACATAAGACTGTGAGCTGTTAAGAGAATGGTTTGATTGCTGTTTTACAGAGGCTCTTGGTAACCAGACCTGATCCTGCGGTGTAAAACCTAAGAAGAAAGGATTCTAGTGGTTGGTGGTTGGAAGTCAAGAATCAAGGGAAGGGTTTGCTTTAAACAGGTCTAGACTGTGGAGTTAATGAATAGCTTTCTCCCAGGGCCCATAAAACTCCTGCAGTTCACTTACCTTCTTTAATAGTACAATATGCCTGTATCATTTCCCCTCTACACATCACCTGGTGTAGTAACATAAACTAGAATATTTTTAAGCAAAATGAAGCAGATGGTTGTTCTGGGTTTTTCGGGCTCTTTGGCAGCTGCGCTCCCAAGCCAACTACACCAGAGTACAGGTTGCTGTCCTCTGAAGATGCCCATGGCCACAGAGACTGGCGAAACATCAGGAAGAACAACCTTCAGAACACAGCCAAAGAGCCCGAAAAACCCACAACAACCATTAGATCCCAGCCGTGAAAGCCTCCGCGAATAAAATGAAGCAGAGCTTATGTCCATTTCCAAGAAAAAGAATCATCCTACATTTTGACACTCTTTGACATGGGGCTGCCTTTGAAAAATCTTTGGATACTGCAGCAGATTTGAAATACTGCAGCCCAATTGCTAACTGGGGCTGGTCACAGGGATTGCACAACTGCCCTATTACAACTGCTCTACTGGCTGCTGATCTGTTTCCGGGCACAATTCAAAGTGCTGGTTTTGACCATTAAAGTCCACCCTCCTTAAACATCCCCCTTACTTTGAAAGTCCTGTTAGGGCTGCTGTAACATGGAACAGCAAAAGGGAGAAAACTG